TATCAGAATATTTTGAAAAAGAAAGGTTATTTTTGTCAATACAGTCATCTTTACACTTGATATTCTGCCCAATAAAGATAAATTTACCTCCTTCCAGGGATCTAGATCTTTTTTATCTCCTTCCACTTCCCTCCGTAGTTGTCCTGTTGTTTTTGAAGTTAAGATAATCCCCAAATATTTAATTTTGATGTTATTTGTATATTCCAAGTTTCTTTTAATAAGTCTGTTTTTTTCTTTTGAATGTTTCTTGTTATTGCTTTTGTTTTTTTCCATATTTATTTTGTTAAACATAAATTTATGTATTTCTGGTTCAGTTCTTATGTCATAATGGGTTGTTTTTGTTTTTGTTTTATTTTGATGCTTAATCCCTTTGTTGTAAGTTTTCTGTTGTGACTCTTCATTATTCTATATTATGTGATGTATCTGTACTTATTTTGAGGCACTGAATGTTTACTTTTTTATGTGTAAACTGCCCTGAGATAAGAGGGCAGTCTAGAAATAAAGTTTTATATTGTTGTTGTTGTATTATTATTATTATTATTATTATTATTATTATTATTATTAGGAAAGGAGAGAAAGGGTGAAAAGGGGAACCCTACTATTGGATATCACCTTGCTGCTGAGATGCCAGCACAGAAATGGTACAAACTCATTGCATAACGTAGGTAATGGGAATACTGTAGGATTGTGGGATATTAATGGATTTTTCCCGTCAACAGGGAGGAGGCAGACCGGTAGGAAGATGCAAACAACATTGTGTGATAGGGTCCATCACCAAAGTTGTCAGTCCAGCTTCATTGCTAGTTTGCCTGCCTCGTGTGATATAAGACATTTCTGGGGGTTTTATTTTTGTTTTACTTTGCGAAGTAGGTTAATCAGTCACTAACAATGAGACATGCAAGGTCTGGAAATGTTACATTTTTGACTACAACTTTTGTTCATATCACTTAGCATATATAAAAGCTAATCATTAAGCTCATATAAATGCAAGCCCACTTTAGAAGTCTCTATATTGATGCTAAAGGTAAAGGTTTCCCCTTGACATTAAGTCTAGTTGTGTCTGACTTTGGGTGGTGGTGCTCATCTCCATTTCTAAGCCGAAGAGTCGGCGTTGTTTGTAGATACCTCCTAGTCATGTGGTTGGCATGACTGCATGGCACACCATTACCTTCCTGCTGATGCAGTACCTATTGATCTACTCACATTTGCATATTATCTGCTTTGAACTAGATTATATGTGCCCATGTTGCCAGACAATCTGGAATAAGCGTATAATCTGGGATCATATCTTGGGATATAGGAAAGTGTAGATCCAGCCTGAGATTCTTTCTTCTACTCGGCCATCCATTTTTTTGGACTGCTCTCCAGTTTTTCATTCACTTTCCCATGTTCCACCTTTCAGTTGCGATTTATGACCTCATCTAGTTGTTTGGTGAATGACAGTTGCCACATTGCAAGCAGTGCTCTGCTAAATAAAGAATTAGCCCCAACCGTGAGTTCTGTATAGTTGTATTTAACCGAGAATGATTGATATCCATTCATCAAGCCAAATGCATGGGTACTGTAGTTCCTTAATCATGCTTCATTTTCTGTCCCCACCCTCCTGTTTATGGTACCTTTTGAATAAAGCATACATAGTCTTCATCTTTCTGTTTTTATTGATCTTTTCCCAATAACAGGCTGGATATGATCAAGTTTTGGAACATTGTAGAGAATGCCAATAAATTAAGTGCTAAAACTCCATCTTGGCATTGTAGATACTCCTTTCTCTTTAAAAAGAAGGAAGGAAGGAAAGAGGAGAAAGAAGGTTACGATGACAAAGGTCTTTTAGATCTTTATAGTAGTCAATGTTGATAAGTGGAAGCAATAAATTTGCTTACCAAAAGTTTGTTTCCCAGGTTTCAAAACCCTTCTGATAAGATTCTTTTTGTGATATGTGACATAGCAAGGACTCTTGAATTAATGTAATAGTGTGGCATGAAGCCATTGTCTTTGTTTAGACCTCTTTAGTTGGATGGAAATCAAATTTACTGATAAAATCTAATCCATCACTGCTATTCTAAAATCTAATCCATCACACTATTGAGTCTCTCTTGGAAGTTCCTTGAACTTATTTGAAGAATGGTGACTTATCATTTCCTGAGAAACCGAAATAAGCATCTATTAATTTTTATTATGTTATTGCTGACATTAGTTTAGTGTCCATGTTTCTTTATATGTTCATATATTTCTTTGTTTTCAAATAAGGAAAAGATTTGATTGTCCTTTGTGGATATGAGATAGTGGGAGAGCATTGTAGCTCAGTAACAATATGGAATTAGTTTAAAATATAATTTTGTCTTTCACTCATAAATTTGTTTTGACCACTGAAGCAGGATGATTTATAAGCAAACAAGCAGCAAACAAACAAGCTGGGGACAAGGGGTTGAAGGAGTTACAATCTGAAGGATTCTATGGGAAGCCATGACAATCTGTCTTATTAGTTGCACACATTCTTATTAGTTGCACACATACTATTGCATTAGAAAAGACCAACCACATCTTGGTTCTTTTGCAGGTATATTCACCAATGTGCATGGTTCACCCTTTGGCTGGGAGTAGTTGCCATGATAGGATTTGTTCAGCATTATGTTTTAAAGACTACCAAGTAAGTTCATTTTATAAAATGGTTGTACCATTGATTGACACCTTGTGGGAGGCAATTTGTGACAGGATCACAAAGAGTCTCTCCAGCTACCTGTTCTCAACATACTCTATGACCAGCCCCAAAGATATTTCCCATTGCCCCTGTTGCCGTGAACTTTTGAATTAAAAAACCCTCCAGATATAGGAAATCCATGAGCCTTTAATGTTGGCATTCTGGAGAATGGACAAAAAACTCTGGAAAATAATTTCCTAAAGTTCAGTGTTTTGCTAAACCTGAACAGGAATTTATAATCTTGCATATTTACATAAAACTGTCATGATTGGATGTGAAAACAGGATGCCTTAGGTTGGGATGCTACCAGGTTGAAAAGGTAAGGTATTTGGGGGGGGGGGGGAGTGGCAAATGGTGTCATGAGCTTGGCCACGTTATCAAGAGCAAACAACAGGAGGAGAAGCCAAAGTCAAGAGTCCACTATTAGAGAATCCTACATTCGGGAGTCCTTGAAAGTCAATCTGGGATACAGAAGTACAAGCTACAAACAGAAAGGGGCGAGCCCATGCTGAGTTCCAAAGTCCAAGTAGCTGAAGTCAAACTGGTTTTATTTATTTATCAGGAGCGAACTAAAACAGTTGTATTGCATCAAAAACAAACAAACAAACAAGACACAAAGTTTGCAGACTTGGTATTCTATTAAATGTCCTTTGACCAGTACCTGGCCACTTGGAGTGCCTCTGGTGTTGCTGCAAGAAGGTCCTCCGTTGTGCATGTGGCAGGGCTCAGTACAAATGTCTGGTTGTTGATGACACGATAAATAAATAAAAAGAGCTCAGGTTGTATTGCAGTAGGTGGTCTGTGATTTGCTCTTCTCCACACTCGCATGTCGTGGAATCCACTTTGTAGCCTCATTTCTTAAGGTTGGCTCTGCATCTCGTGGTGCCAGAGAGCAGTCTGTGAGATGTGCTCCACACGGGGCATGCATACTCAGCAGCAAAGTAGCATAGTGCAAGGGCAGATGTCTTCACTGTATCTGGTTGTGATCCCCAGGTTGTGCCAGTCAGCTTTCGTATGTTATTGTTTCTAGCGCCCACTTTTTGCTTGATATTCAGTGCTTCTTGTAGGTTCAGAGCACGGTCCAGGGTAACTCCCAGGTATTTGGGTGTGCTGCAATGCTCCAGTGGGATTCCTTCCCAGGTAATCCTCAGAGCTCAGGATGCTTGTCTGTTCTTAAGATTAAAAGCTTGTGTCTGTGTTTTAGATGGATTGGGAATCAGCTGGTTTTCCCTGTAATAGGCAGTAAGAGCACCTAGAGCTTCGGAGAGCTTCTGTTCATCCATCTTGAAGCTTCGTGCTTGAGCGGTAATGGTCGCTCCAGAAGTGACCAGAAGTCAAGCTGGTGAAGCAACAGAGTCAAGATGGGAAAAAACAAGAGCCAAGGTCACAGTCCAGGATCAGAAATGCTGGTAGTCTGAAAAACAGTGGAGTCAGGTTCCAAGATACAAGATACTGTATATGAGTTGCAAACATCCGACTTACAAATGACTTCTAGTTAAGAATGGGGGTAAGAAAACAGGAAGTTAGAGAAATCTGTCTCTAGGAAGGGACATTCACTTCTGAAAGAGTTATCATGGGGAAAAGATGACTCAAATAAATGCCATATCTCCGATCCTTGTTTCCACAACAAGCCAAATTTTCAAAATCCAATTATCACAGAGGCAGAAAGTGAGGTGAAATCTTCTGAAGAGGGGAACCAACAGCAAAACATACATTACAGCCCTGAACACATTTGATCTCATCTGATCTTGGAAACTAAGCAGGGTTGGGCATGATTAGTACTTGGATGTGCGAGCTAATATATTTTGCTGGAGTTGTATTTTAAAAGGTATCTATTTCCATTCGATGTTTGATGTTTTGTCTTATGTCTGCTATAACAGGATGTGCTTTTTATTTAATTTTAATTTGTTAAGTTATAATTAGTGTTTATTTGTAGGGTTGTATACATTTTGTTAGTGTGGATGTATTGTTGTTGTTGTTGTATTCAGGCATTGAATGTTTGCCTTTTATGTTTGGAATACGCCCAGAGTCCCTTTGGGGAGATAGAGCGAAATATAAATAAATTATTATTATTATTATTATTATTATTATTATTATTATTGTTATTATCTGTTCTGACAAATAGAAATTCCACTTAAGAGCAAACCTACCGAACCTGTCTTGTTCATTACTTGGCAACAGTGCTGCCTATTCCTGTTCTTTCAAAGTGGCTCTACTGAATGACATAGCAGGAGTAGGAAGTATATTTCTATCAGATGGGAAAGATGATTTCTAAATAGCATATTTCTTCTGTTTTTCATTCATGTTACATAGGCAGCAAGAGCCTATTTTCAAAGCCTGTCAACCTACTACAAACGTCATGTTTCTCAAGACACACAAAACTGCTAGCAGCACTATCCTGAATATCCTCTTCCGTTTCTCGGAGAAGCACAACCTCACGGTGGCTCTTCCAAATGGGAACGGCTTCCACCTGGGCTACCCTCAGCTCTTCAGAACAGCCTTTGTTGAGGAGTTCAAAAGCATTGGACAAAACTTCAATGTCATGTGCAACCACTTGAGGTTTAATGCCCAAGAGGTGAGAACAAACCAGGAAGGACTGCACAACTTTATTCTTTGCATACTACTTCAAAGGTGTTCACTTTCCTTGTCTTTAAAGTTAAATAATGCTAACATTTAAGATATATTTCTCCAAAAACTTTAAGAAAAAGATGGGGACCTGAGGTCTTAGAGCCAACTGGGACCATTTACCAAAAGATAATCTAATACTGTGTTATGTTTTTGAAGGGAATCCCAGAAGTGCTGTGTTTGTGTGTGTATAGTACTGGAGTTATTTTCACCATGTTTTGGGCTTTCAAAAAGGCCTTTCTTGTGACAAAAGGATGTGTGTGTGTGTGTGTGTGTGTGTGTAATGTTAGTTTGTGGGATTAACATAACTCACCAAATTTGGACACAATACACCTATTAAACCAATGAGTGACCATCACTCATAAAAACACTGAAAACACAGTGGAAGTGACTTAAAAAGCCAAAAATGCAAAAAGATGCTACAGCGCATGTGCAAAATTGACTCCCATAGCCAACAAAACACACAATAGCATATCCACACTCTCTTCCAGGCTACAGCTCCCAGCATCCCCTAGACCAGGCCCTTTAGGAGTGGAGGAGGATCCACTGCTTCCATGATGCAAGCTTTCTTCTCCTTGGATTTCTCTGAGAGCATCCCAATTCCTGCATATTTCCTATTCCTGGACTGCAACTCCCAGCAATCCTCCAGATAGATAGATTAGATAGAGATAGATAGATCGATCAGGAGGACTGCAGGGAGTTGCAGTTCAAGAATAGGTAGAGAAGGAAGAAAGGGAGAAAGAGGAAGGGAAAGAAAAGGGGGTAAGGAAGGGAAGAGGAAGAGAAGGAAGGAAGGAGAGAATGAAAGAAAAAAGAGAAGGAAGGCGAGAAAGAAAGGAGAGAAAGAGGGAGGAAAGGTTGGCCCCAGCAATGCGTAGCGAATATAGCTAGTGTGTGTACACACACACACACACACACACACACTCCTGATCACAATAAACTGTGGTTTGACATTGCAACTAATAACACTGTGTAACAAAATTTCTGTTCCTGGTTTGAAAGTGTTATTGTTTAATTGTGCAGTACTTAGTTTGAAAGTAGTTGTTTTACTCTATAAACTTGTTTTCGGTTTTTGTGGCTGCCATGAACTATGTTGACTTGGTTAAATATTCATTGAAAAACTATAGCAAAATGTGTGGTGAAGTACATACAGCATACCAAATTGCATTACATATAGCTGAGTCTGCAGAGATCTGGAGTAGATATGTTATTTCAGTTGTCTTAATTTTAGGAACTCTTTCCTAATCATTGAGAAAGGATTATGCTTACTGTATTTTGTTTTGTTTTATTTAAAAGGTAAGAAGAGTGATGCCAAATGACACCTTCTATTTTTCTATCCTGAGAGACCCAGCTTCCTGGTTGGAATCTTCCTATGTTTATTACAAAAGTGTTGCACCGGCTTTTAGAAACTCCAAGAATGTGAATGAGTTTCTTGCATCTCCGTGGTCTTACTACAATCTCAGTGAAAAGAATTGGAACATCTATGCCAAAAACCACATGTGGTTTGACTTGGGCTATGACAACAATGCAGTGTATGATGAGTACTATGTGCAGTCAGTAATACAGGATGTTGAGCAGAATTTCCATTTGATGCTAATTGCTGACTACTTTGACGAGTCCATGATCCTCCTGAAGGAGACTTTATGCTGGGATTTGGATGATGTGGTCTATTTCAAGCTGAATGCCAGGAGCCAAAGCACTGTTCAGGCAATGAGTCCAGAAAGTAGAGAAAAGGCAAAAGAGTGGTGTACTTTGGACTGGAAACTTTACCAGCACTTCAATGACACCTTCTGGGTTAAGATTCAGGAGAGGATGGACCTTAAGACTTTGTACAAAGAAGTTGAGCGTCTACAGAAGAGACAGAACGAGCTGATGGAAATGTGCCTTTCAGAGGAAGCTGCAGTTGAGGGAAACAAAATCAAAGACCGTCGCCTAAAGCCTTTCCAGTCAGGGGGTGCTAAAATATTAGGCTATAACCTCAAACAAGATTTGGCCAATGAAACCTTCGCAGTCTGCAAAAAGATGATTGTACCTGAGCTTCAGTATATGGCATACATGTACAGTCGCCAGTTCCCAGACAAAAACAGAAAACCCATAGACTTTAAATAAGATCTAATCATAACGAAATGCCATCCTATCAAATCTCAACAGATCTCAATCTTATGATATGGAAGGCTTTGCTTTCTGACCTGATCCAAAAATCTGATCTCTCTTTCTTTCTGTGCCATTCTTTCTACATGTATATGACATTGTCATGATATGACATCCCGATCAGATGTTGCTGACATTCCCAGAACAATTAGTAAGCAAACAGTGATCCACGTAAATGAGAATTATGTAACCAAGAGTGGGTGACTGTGGTGGTCCAGGGCCCAGACTCCTGCCCTTGGTGTCCTCCAGAGGCTGCATATAGTGGGCAAAATATTGTGGGCAACCAATGAGGTTTGGTTTCAAGACAGACATCCCTGCTGCCCACTGCTCCATGGATACTCAAATGTATGGATACTCAATTATATAAAATGGTATAGTAGCATGATGTTCCTTATATACAATGGCAATTTTATTATTTGTCTTTTGGACTTAAAAAAATTAAGGTACAGGCAGTTCCCAAGTTATGAACAAGATTTGTTCTGAAGTTGAATTTGTAAGTCAGAATAGGTACATTTTAAAAATGTAACTCTAGCCATCTATCTATCTATCTATCTATCTATCTATCTATCTATCTATCTTTGGACAGCATAAGGAAGGGTTAACACCCCTGTGGTGCTTGTTTTGCTGTCTGTGCCCCTGTTCAGATTATTTCACCTCACTTTCTGTCCCTATAATAATTGCATTTAAAAAAAATTGACTTGCTGTGGAAACAAGAATTTGTGAGAAAGCTTCTGTGGAGACACCTTTTCCCCATGATAACTCTTTCAGAAATGAATTTTCCTTCCGAGGGGTAGATTTCTCTCACTTCCTGTTGTTTCATCCCTGTTCTTAACTATGAGTCATTTGTAAGTTGGATATTTGTAACTCAGAGACTACCTATATGCAACAATAATATTTATGTATACAAAAACATAGACATACCTAACAACAACTACATATCAAACTGCGCAACATACATCTCTATTCTAATTACACGTAAGTCTAAATTACAAGCATATATATATAAATTGGATGTGAGAGCTGGATAGTAGGGAAGGCTGAGCAAAGGAAGATAGATGCTTTTGAACTGTGGTGTTGGAGGAAAGTGCTGAGAGTGCCTTGGACTGCGAGAAGATCCAACCAGTCCATCCTCCAGGAAATAAAGCCCGGCTGCTCATTGGAGGGAAGGATAGTAGAGGCAAAGATGAAGTACTTTGGTCACATCATGAGAAGAAAGGAAAGCTTAGAGAAAACAATTATGCTGGGGGAAATGGAAGGAAAAAGGAAGAGGGGCCGACCAAGGACAAGATGGATGGATGGTATCCTTGAAGTGACTGGATTGACCTTGAAGGAGCTGGGGATGGTGACGACCGACAGGAAGCTCTGGCGTGCACTGGTCAATGAAGTCACAAAGAGTCGGAAATGACTGAACAAATGAACAACAAAATTTATTAATTGATTTTAAAAGTGGATTTCTTTCTTTCCTTTTTTCGGTTTCTCTATTATTTAGTATTTTTCTTCAACCTTATGTCCCACAAATAATTTACTTCTGCTTATTTTAACATTAACAAATAAATATCTCAATAGTCTTTCCCTTCCCCTCAGATATACGAAGGGTATTTTTTAAGTAAGGTCCGTTGAACATAAGTACACAACGAAAGTTTATTTCAAAAAAGTAAATTTATTTTCATAAAGTACATACTTCACTCTGTTTTTCGACATAGTTGCCAAGTTTGTTCAAACACTTATCATACCTCTGAACCAATTTTAAAATACCCTCTTCATAAAAACTTGCCAAAAGCCACCAAATCGTCTGTAATCAAAGAAGGGCGCCCGGAGCAGTCCTCATCATGGACGTTGTCACGGCCATCTTTGAATTGTCGTACCCACTTACACACTTTGCTTTCACTCATAAGAGTATCACCATACACTTCACAAATCTGTCGATGAATTTCTGCAGCAGGCAGGTTCCTTGCTGACAAAAACTGTATCACTGAGCGAACCTCACATGCGGCGGGTGAGTTGATAGTCTTAAACATTTTTAAAGCACAGAACAGAACCGTACAGGTTAGCTACAGAGCGGAAACTGAACACAGTTGTTCCCGAGGCATGCCGGTACACGACGCATGCGCTCGTTGCGGTATACGCGTGAACTACTAGTGTCTACAACAAAACGGACCTTACTTAAAAAATACCCCTCGTATATTGGTAAATGGGTTTCCATTCTTCTAAGAATGTGCCCAGTGCCTTATCTCTCAACAGCATCATTAACTTGTCTATATTTATTATTTCCCACATCTTTACTGTCCAGTTTTCTACAGTTGGTGTCTCTGTCATTTTCCATTTTTCAGCATGTGGCATTCTTTCCACTGTTAGGATGTACTGCAGGATTATTTTATGTTCCTTTTTTATTTCATTGCCCAACAGTCCTAGTAATGTAAGTTCTGGTTTCAATGATGTTTAGATGGCATTTTAACCCCCCCTCCCCCAAATAAAAATGTATAAAAATGCAAATATTAAGTGTTGAAATGTGAAGTACACGAAGGCTCCTGCTACCAAATGTGGTGGACCAGAAAGAAGGCCAAAAAAATTTGGAGACAAATTCATGGGGCAATCCAATAAATTCTTAAAGCAATAATTAAAAAACATTTTTCAAGCCTTGGATGGTTGAATCTGTGAATGAGGAATCATTAAATAAGGAGGGCCAACTGTTCCTAAATAGATGTGGAGGGTTTTGCTTGTATACTGTATTTCTGCATGGCAGGTGACTGGACTACATAGTCCTTGCAGTTCCTTCCAATTCTGGAATTCCATGATTTTATTATTTTATTGATCTATTTCTGGTTTTGGAAAGTAGGCTTTGTTTTATGTAATGTTGAAAAGTGTAGGGTATATGTGTCTGCTACTGATTCAAAAGGTGAGTTGGTCATTCTTTGAAATTTTCACAAGAGGCACTTGTGGTCAGTAAAAACATGCAGGGAAAAAGGGTGGAGTGCTGATGTCACAGTTTCCCCACCTATATTTGGTCAAAGTTTAGCTCAATGTTCCTTTCCTGGTCTCTTTGGAGAAATTGCTGTATTTTGGTGTGGTTTGAATTGCTTCTATCTCATCTTTTCCTGTGATAAGGATATCACCCACAATCTCAATTTCCGGAAGCCCCTGCAGCAGGACTGATCCACACTGGCATCCTTAATCAGAGGTATCCCATAAATTGTATGCTAAAGGTTGCCAAGTCCAATCTTCACTGCAAATTGTAAGCACCTTTGCCAGGGCAGATCTTGCAATATATTCTCAATTGTTAGCCGTGGATAGTAGCTTTCTTTGAGTGCCATATTTAGTAATTTAGGATTTAACACAAATTCTCAGTTTGCCTAGTGGTATCCTTGCCACCTTTAGATTACTAATCTAGTTAGTGCTTTTTGCAACTGGTGCAATGATGCTTTTTCAGGTTCACCAATTCTTTCTTCAGTGACTCTAGTGGGACTGGTAGCATTCTATGTCTTGGCCACTATGTTGCATCTGTAGACTACCTTTAACTTCAGTTTTTCCACTAAACAACCCATACCCTGAAATGTGTTTCAGCTCTTGATAAAATATTAGGTAGGAGACCTAATGACTTATCTTGCTCCTCTATAACATGGGGAGTATTGTGGTAGTGCACTCTTATTAAACCAATGGCCTCTGCTACAATGTCATCCAGCAGTCTGTCAAAATCTACAAGTTCTAAGTGGCATCATTGTTGTTGCATGACTCTATCACAAAGGACTGGCAATTCTTTGGTGATCTCACAGACATTATTTTGTATATTATCAGCCTTTGGGGGCAATTTTCAATCTGATCCTACTATAAAATAGATCAGGGTACAGCCCATAGACTGTGTATGACCCCTGGATTCCACTTTTGTAGCCCTTAAACCTGCAGTGCAAATATGTCTTTCTTTCCTGCATTGGGTATATCCTGTGGAATTATATATTACACTAAATGTCTTTTCTTTGTTTGCAGTATCCATTACTGTTTTTACTATTTTCCACTTCTTTGGCTGATTATAATCCTGGCCTTTAAAGTTATTCTTTTTTTGCACTATCTTTGCATTCTTGCTCATAGGTTGAGCATTTGTGTTTTTGCCATTAATGTAGCTTTCCACAACAGATGTAATAAATTACACTATATGTGCCTGCAAATAGTCTTTTTGAGTCATGCTTCTCAGAGTTTCTTGTCTCAGGGATCCTGGAAATTAGCTGCGGACAGATAACCAGTGGCTTGTTGCAGGCACCAAGACTATAAGAGCCACCACTTTAAGCAGCTTTGCCTTAAGATAAGCTTGGGTATTTGCTCAATATTTACAGTCGATATTAATGTTTTGAACCTTCGGTTACACAATTCTGCTGTGTTTGCAACTTGGTGACATTTTCCATGGTGGGATTTATTTCTTTTAACAGTCTCTCCTTCAAGGCAGAATCCTATGCACCATGACCTTGTCAGATGGCCTCCAGAGATGCTCCGCTTCATCAAGGGGTGTGAGGAACCAAGTTCCCCATGCCTTGCATCCTCCGGCTCCTTCCAAGGGTGATCAGATGGGGGAAGAGTGAGCATGTGTGGTGTGAGCGGCTTCCCCCATGCCAGTGTTTCTCAACCTTTCTAATGCCGCGACCCCTTAAAATAATTCCTCATGTTGTGGCGACCCCCAATCATAAAATGATTTTCATTGCTATTTCATAACTGTAATTTTGCTACTGTTACGAATTGTAATGTAAATATCTGATATGCAGGATGTATTTTTATTCACTGGACCAAATTTGGCACAAATACCCAATACACCCACATTTGAATATGGGTGGGATTGGGGGGGGGGAGGGGATTGATTTTGTCATTTGGAAGTTGTGGTTGCTGGACTTTATAGTTAACAATCAAAAGCATTATGAACTCTACAATGGAATTGAACCAAACTTGGCACACAGAACTCCCCTGACCAACAGAAAATACTGGAAGAGTTTGGCGGGGATTGACTTTGAATTTTGGAGTGTTTGTTCACCTACATGCAGAGAGTGGATGGAGGATTTTTGATGGGAGGATTCACCATCTGTTCCCAAAAAGTAAGAGAAGGACAGGCAGAGAGATCTTCAGCCCTCTGCCAAAGGAGTTCCTAAGACCATCAGAAATATGTGTTTTCTGATGGTCTTTGCTGACCCCTCAGAATCCCCCTTGTGAATCCCTCCAAGGGTCCCAACCCCCAGGTTGATAAACACTGCCCTATGCATTCCAGTGGTAACATAGGGGCTCTGCCATGTTGTCCTGGTGGCACCATGTGCCAGCTCCACCCTCCTTCACCCATGGAGCCTCACTAGCATTC